GTTTGTAGGAATTTGTACCCAATGCTTATTATGAAGGCTTTAACTTTTTCTCCTCCACTTACTTCACAGAGTGTTGGCTGATATACCAGTATTTATACATCAGACTGTGAGCAGGGATAGTTTAAGGGGGAGGATATGGACCACTCACAGAAAAATTATTTGAAGTAATCGCAATGCTCAAGATGGCAGATTATGGAATGATCTAGTTTCTGAATCTGAATATAGATCTAAATCTAATTCGAAATACATATTTCATATACACTACCATTCAAAAGTTTGGGGTCAGTAAGATTATTTTAATTTTTTCGAATTAATACTTATTCAGTGAGGATGCAATAAATCACACAAAAGTAACAAATAAATAAATGTATTATGTTACAAAAGAATTCTATTCCAAATAAATATCCTGTAAAGTATATGTTCATCAAAATATTATGGAAAAAAGTTTCACAGTTTCCACAAAAATATTAAGCAGCACATCTGTTCAACATCGCTTCTCAAGAAACATTTCTTATTATCAAATCAGCATATTAGAATTATTTCTGAAGGATCATGTTCCACTGAAGACTGGAGAAATGATGCTGGAAATTCAGTTTTGCCATCACAGGAGTAAATTGCATTTTATATTATATTGAAAATTGAAAACAGTTATTTTAAACTGTAGTAATATCTCTTTTTTTGTTTTGTTTTTTTATTTTAAATGCAAACTTTGTGAGCGTAAGAGACTTCTTTAAAAAAACTCAAACATTTTGAACGCTAGTGTATGTTTTTATAATATAAAAATAGTTTATATATTTAAAAAAAAAATGTTTTCAAACCTATATTTCAAGTTAAACCTTTTTATATCATAAATTATGAATTAATAAATGGTAGGTCACACTTTATTTTAAGGTCCAATTCTTGCTAGAGCAAGTTTATGCACTTTAAAAAACACTCCTGTTATAATCAGTGAACCTGTCTACACTTTATGATGAATAAATCTCTTATACTTACGTCGTAGTGCATCTGCACTTTGTTGTTTATGATGAGAGAATTGAACTGAACAACAAAACTCTGGTGTTTCAGAGATGACTCATTTGAACGCCTCTGATTGACCATTGCATTCATAAACTCAGGATCAACAGAATCGTGTGTGATTGGTTATAATGCACAACACTGTAAAAACGTGGAAAATAAATATGATGGAACAAATAAGCCCTAATATTAATTAGATTAATTAGGATAGTATTACTAGCCTAATAATAATAATAATCAATGTCTTGCTATCGTCAAAGGCATCAGCCACAGGCGATATCTCTGACTATCGTAGATTCACAATGCTATCATCTATCGGCACAACCCTAATACGAAGGTCAAATTATCTTAAAGGTTAATAAGACACTTACTGACTTTGATACATAGTATTGGGGATTTCTATTTTTTAAATGTTAAGTGTTATATTCTCTGTTTCACTGAAATGATTTTCTGTAGCAGCTCTAAATCAGTGTCATGTTTATCTGGCCCTGAAATCTCACAGGAATGATTGTTTGAAGCACAGATGGCGGGGAAAGCGACGTGCCTTCCTCTAGACACCAGCTACTTTTGCTCAAATGGCTCTCCTCGCCACATCTCTCGCAGTCTTTCATATATCTCATCCAATTAAGTCCACAAGCGTATAACCTCCCAGACATGTACATCTCATCTTGCTGTTTCTTATTTGATTTCCTGTCTGATATAAAAGAAAAGGGGGCGGGGTCTATTACATCATCTTGTTTGCAACAATTCATCCAAATAAGAATTTCTGACCTGCAACCATTCCTGGTTTTTCTGTCTGCTCTGCTGGGAACATCAGTGGATGTAGGCTACAAATAAGTCAGCGCAGAGGGGGATGTGAACAGCACCTCAAACACATCCACATGCCCTGAAGAGACAGCAGTCCCCAACTGGCCAGAGATTGACGTCTCGATGTCAGGCAGCCCTGACTAATTTATTCCAGAGGAGCTGTAGAAGGGAAAAAAGCTGAGTTATTGAGATACAATAACTCTACTGGTTAATTAGAGTGTATTTGAACAGTCAAGCCGGCTTCTGGAGTCTGGAGGGGGCTTGTTTCAGATGGAGGGGTGCAGGAGTTTTCTATTCGTAGTCATTTTCACTGATTCACATATTATGTTGAAGGTCAGGTTAAGTCATCAGGATCCTCTTGTTTGGCTTTCAGTGGGACAAGATAAAATTCTTAAAATTTTTACGTTCTTCATTTTTACATTTTCTGAAGAAATGTGTGTGCCGTTTTCACAGACAACACTCACAATGCTATGCTGAAACTGGTCAGACAAGTTTCCCAGTATATATTTAAAAATAATAATAATGTTTATACACATTATACATATAGGTGTATAACTTTATATTATATTATTTATCATTTATTATTTATTTTATAGTAAATGTTTTCTAAAGACTGGTCAGAAATCAAGATTAATTGGCTGTATTTTTGACTATACCAATAGTATTTAACAGTAAGAGAATACTGTTAAATATAAACGATGATATAAATAGATTTAAAGTTTAAAATTTAAATAGTTTTGTTTTGTTTTGTTCATACTGTCTGTCTGATCACTTAGAAAATCACAAACAGACCTATTATTCTGTTAGTATCACAGATGGTGTTTGATGAGTTATGTGTCAAATTGTGGGTGGAAAATATAAAAATTAAGAGGAATAGCAAGCACCACTAATTAGTGTGCAATGATAAGACCGTGTAATCTGAGGACAGCCCAAATATTTGGATTAAATATTTGATTTTTTTCACATTATATATTCCTCTACCTTAGGGTTTATAATGCAATGTTAGCGATTGGCCACTCAGTTGTCAGTGGATGTACTTTCAGGATCAGTTTCTGGATTTTGCTTTCAGCTGCCCTAAAGTTATTAGATTATTAGATGAGTCTGTCTTAATAACCGGTCGGGTTCCTTAAGGTTTTATATAATCAATTCTGTCTAATTACCGTCTCGCACATTCCTCATATTCCGCCTAGTAAATTATAATAACAAGTAATAACAAGTTCTAACAAGCTGGCACATACTGTAGCGAGTCTCCTATCATTTTCATGTGATTCTCTGAGGGACCTGGAAAGCCTGGAAAGTCTCATACGTATGTTTCATTTGTTTAGATGTGAGTGAGTAAGTGGGGTTTTATGTACAGTGTGGGTATAAGTGACGCCCCCTGTTTTTGCTGATGATGATAGATTGTACACACCACAGCAGTCCAGAAAGACTATGGTGTCACTAGTTCATTACTTATATTGTAGGTGTGAGCATATTTTGGGGTGGCAAGGACAAACCAACCAACATTGCTGGAATGATACACCGACCAGTCCCCCTATAAAAGTGTAAATGTGCTGAACGAAATGTTATTACAATGAGAAGATTTACTGAGCTGTTGAGTAACACACAAGCCTTTGCTCACTGGTTTAACTAGGTTGCTTCATTTACTTGTCATAATGGAACACCAAGTGCTCAACTCCAACCGCTGAGAGGAGAACACTCTGTGCTAATATTTGGAAGTTTTGATTCTGTCAAATAGTGTTACTTGGTTTATCACGGTGAGGGTCATTCTGGCAAAGTATTTATAGGAAAAGTACACCTCAAAATTAAAATGTTGTCATTTACCCTTATGTCATACCAAAAACTGTTCGACTGACTTTCTGTGGAACACAAAGCGAAATTTTGAAGAATGGTCTCAAAGGAATAGAGACTGTAGTTTGAAAGCTAATGAAAGGATGCAAAACCATCATAAAAGTATCATAAAAGTTGCTTGTTTGCATCTTCTGAAGTCATATGATAGCAATTGAATGAGTCCAATTGATTTGTGAATGATTCATTCAGACTGCTTTTGTGAACTCAATCAACTGATTAATTGAAAAGCTATGAATAAGGTGTTCACAACTTGAAAGATTCTTGCTACTTCTATCATGAATTTTGATCTGTTCCTCACATGAAGTTACTAAGTTTGCAATGTAAAGGAAGTAGCAACAGATCTTTTCTTCTGTATTGTGATGCACATCCAAGTGAAACTTGAAAAGTGAAAAATGTAGGACAGGGACACGGTTATATCATATGAATCGGTTGTTGATTGGATGGAAACAGATCTGAATGTGAGCCTACAGTTGACTGTAAGAAAGGGTTTTGAGGACAAAATATGTCATTTGACCAGAAGATCAACTTAAAAATTACAAGCTCAAAAATTCTAATATGTATGGATGAATAGTTCACAATGCATTTAGAAAATAGTTAGGGTGAATTTCCATTTCATGCAGACTTCAGTTTGTATTGGAATATGGCACACAAATCAGATCATTTTTATGATAATTTTATTGTGATGTTTTGTCATATTTCCCTTTTCTTATATTTAAAAAGTGGCCAGGATATTTTTTTTTAATTCACCTTTCGTGTTCCACTGAAGAAAGTCATGCAGGTTTGGAAAGACATGAGGGTGAATAAATGATGACAGAATTTTCTAATATTTCAAATGGTGAAAATGGGAGTCTGGATGAGGAGAGGTGTGAAGTAAGCTTGTTTAGGGTTAGATTGAGTGAGAAGAGAACAGATGGTTCGTTCTAACACCTCTCTGGTTTTTAGAGAGCCCAAAGGAGCTGGTGTGAGTGGATGTAAGTTTATTGCCGTGCTTTGAGAGCTCATCGCTGCAACTTTTTGAAACCTTTCAATTCTGTGTACGAGCTGAATTTCAAGCATAACCCTCTGTGTTCTTGTTATTGATCTATCTGTGCAATTATCATCAATGTAAGGCTTTTCTGACTACAGAGATCTGTTGTTAAAGCAAGCACAGTTTATCAGGTAATCTAGATGTCAGCTGGGATGGGTGCATTGAAACCACTGACGAAAAAAAAAAAGATTATTTCGACAGAAGTGTCCATTTCCTTTGTGAAAATCTCGGTGTGTTAGAAGTAATAGATTTTCCAATGGGTGTAAGAGTCTGTGTTTCCCTCTTTTCTTCTCTCTCTCAGATCTACTTGCGTTTCCTAGACTACGAGATGCAGAACTCCAACGAGTGTAAACGTAATTTTGTGGCGGTATACGACGGCAGCAGCTCGGTGGAAGACCTGAGGAATAAATACTGCAGCACGGTGGCCAACGACATCATGCTGGTGTCCACGCTGGGTGTGGTCCGCATGTTGGCCGACGAGGGCAGCCGAAAGAGCCACTTCCGGATACTCTTCACTACCTTCCAAGAGCGTAAGTCATAACACACAGCTCTCCTATCCAACCCTCATGTGTGTTTATAATGTATTTATTATTTTGTTAGTCATTTACACCATGTGAATCTCGTGAAAAAATGTCTGGGTCAATGACAAGAAAATAAGAAATTGCACTGCCATTCAAAAGTTTGAGGTGGGTATCATTTTTTAAAGGGGTCCTATTATGCTTTTTCACTTTTTTTACTTTAGTTAGTCTGTAATGTTGCTGTTTGAGCATAAGCATTTTGTATTTCAGAAGGTGGGCTTTCATTTGATATAGGAACTATTCGAGCCATTCGTGTCAGACTGGGGAGAGAGGTGTTGTAATAATGTAAAATATGTGAAAAATAATGTGTTTTTTAATGTGTATGAGAGCCTGTTCTAGTACACACCCAAAACAAAATCAAGACTGTAAAAGAGCGTAATAGGACCCCTTTAAATGTTTTTGAAAGACGTCTCTCATGCTCACTAGGTTGCATTTATTTAATCAAAATATTTCAGCAATTTTGTGAAATTTTACGACTGTTGGAATGAAAATAACTGTTTACATTTTAAAATGTAATTTATTCCTGTGATGGCAAAGCTGAATTTACTCCTTCAGTGTAGCATGATCCTTCAGAAATCATTCTAATATATTGATTTGGTGTTCTAGAAAAATTTCTTATTTTTTGCAATGTTAAAAACTGTTTTTGCTACTTAACATTTTTTGGAAACCATGATAATTTTTTTCAGGATTCTTTGATGGATAGAAAGTTCATAAGAATAGGTAAATAGAAATCAGTTGTAACATTATAAATGTCTTTACAGTCCCTTTTGATCAATTTAATGCATCTTTAAATAAAATTAAAAACAAACAAACAAAAATTTAATAAAAAAATCTTAGCCCAAATATCATAGTTTCCACAAAAGTATTAAGCAGCACCAATATTTTCAACATTGTCATATAATAAAAAGAAATGTTTCCAAACCAGCATGTTATAATGATGTATGTGATATATGATATTATTATTATGAGATATATACATAATGAAACTGCAATAATGGCTGCTGAAAATTCACCTTTGCCATCACAAGAATAGAAAGCAATTTTTTAAATGGTAATAATATTTCACAATATTTACTGTATTTTTTATCAAATAAATGCAGCCTTGGTGAGCATTTTCAAAAACAGTAAATTATATATATATATATAATTCTTATTTCAACCCTTTGGTTTTAGGTTGAAATAAGACATAGACATTTTTTGACAACTTTCATAAAGCCCATCTCACCTCACAGCAAGGTTGGGTTTACACCCTTGTGTTCGTGTTTGTACAAAATTTGACAAGCACTGACATCTTACACTTCAGCACTCATTCCCTGTTTTATGAACACTCACTTATAAAACACACTCTCACTCTCATTTTCACCAGCACATTCATGCCTGACAGAACACTAAACCGAGCAGGACTTGGAAAATGAAAACAGCTCATCCATGTGTCCATTAAAGGTACACAGGGCCATCTATTTAGCTGTTCACATCATGCCAGTGATTTGAGCCACAATCACACCATAAATGTTTGCTAAACCTTACTGAATAGACCAATAAACTGTTTATGCAGGTTAGGAGCTGGCTGACTCACACAGCCATGTTGTTCATCAATAGAAATGGAAGTTTAAAGGGATATTTCACCCAAAAATGAAAATTCTGTCATCATTTACTCACCCTCAGGTTTTTTTTTTTCTTCTGCAGAAAACAAAATAATATATTTCCAAGAAAGTTGATAACTAAACCATTTTGGTGAGTTTTATTATAAACACAAAAAACACTGTGATATTTCTTAAATTATCTTCTTTTGTGTCCCACGGAAGAAAAAAATCATACATGTTTGGAATGACATGAGGGTGAGTAAATGATGACAGAATTTCCATTTTGCGGTGAACTATTCCTTTAATCTTTATTATTTTCGAAATAGGTGTTTATAGTATTTATCATATTTAGTGAACCTATTTAGTAAATTAATTTAGTGAATCATATTTAGTAAGGTCAAGTTTTAGTTGACTAAAAGTCGGGGAATTTTAGTCTAGTTTTAGTCAATTAAAACATTTTAGTCATGCTGCGTAATGGTTAAACAAATAATCACAATAATTTACCTCAAAATTATAGCAACAACAAAAAATACTTTGCATTACGTACAGAGGTTACGTAAGTGCATTTATTCAGCAACCTCAATCACAAACAGATCCACATTTGGATTTGGATTTATTACAGTGTGAAGTAACATGGACTCTCTATATATGTTTGTCAATGTTTTCAAATCATCAACGTTTTTTAAGAGAGAGCATGTGCGAATGGTTGCCAGGTTGCAAAGATAAAGTAAAACACAGGGCAGAAAATGTCCTTTTTAAGGGACAGTTTACTAAAAAAATGAACATTTTTGAGTATTTTTGGAGTATGGGTATTTTTATTTCATACTATGGATGTCAATAGCTACCGTCAACTGTTTATTTACCAACATTCTTCAAAATATCTTCTTTTGTACTCAACCGAAGAAAGAAACTCATACAGGTTTGGAACAACATGAGGGTGAGGAAATGATGACAGAATTTTCATTTTTGCATGAACTACTGTATACCTTTAAGACAGAAGCTCGTAGGGGGATTTAAACTCTGGACATCTGGCAACCCCAAGCATGAAAACTCGTGGAGGTCTAGAGTATTTTCTCCTCATTTTGTTATAGAAAATATGGAGAAATATTATCAGAGTTAGTGTTTATTGATGTCAGTGTTGTCTCATCTTCGTCTCATCTTAGTCATGGAAAAAAAGGTTTTTGTTAACAAAATTAACTCTATTTCGAGATGAGACACAAACTATTTGTTATTTAATTAGTACAGGAACATTACTCTGTAGCATGGTAAAATCGATTGCATACCTTCCCATGTCGAATATAAAGATCACTTCCCCTGTTTCCTCTGCTAAATAGCCTTTATAAAAACATACAGGCTACAGGCGAGACCACAGATGCACAGAATTAGAAGATTATTCATTTAAGGGATGAGCTGTTTCTGCAGGGACGGAGCAGTTTCTAGGAAGCATGGGGTCTGTGTGGTGCCCCGCCACCCGGGTGTCTTTGATTGGGTGGTCCTGCACAATCGGGGTCGCATCTCTCCGGGTGGCAACACTAGCAGAGACAGACACTATAAAACGTAATGAGGGAGGAGAGAAAGTAAAAAGAAGGAACGTGAAGGATGGGTGCTCTAAAAGAGGATGAAGTATTGTGAGAAAGCAGGGACAGGAGAGGAACAATAAAGACTGAGTGTCTGGCTATGAGAGGAAGTGCTGAGAGAGAGAGAGAGAGAGAGAGAGAGAGAGAGAGAGAGAGAAAGTGGGTATAGGGTGATAAAATGGGGGTTTAATGTTTGACTTGTAGCACACTCATCATTAGTGCGCACTGCCAGCATCAAACACCTTTCTTTGTAATGGTCCCACCGTCGTTCCTGTGACGTCCCGTCGCCATTCGTCTTGTCCCAGTGGCCCCTAAAAACGACCCCAGCCTAATCACACCTCAGTACCGCTGATGGGTAAACGATTAAAAGGAAATGATGCCACCATCCTCATTGTGCACGGCAAAATCAGCTGCCATATATATAGTTTGTATCACAAACAAAAACTGTGTCCATCTTCATTTCAGGCTGCAAAGCAACAAAATGTGATTATTGTAAAGGGGGATGATTCATTTCTATACCCACTGTATGTTATACAGTAACAGTAGCAGTTTTTATGTTTTAATAAAATGTATTAAATATATTTTAATATTTGAAATGTTTAGAAATATATATTGTTTTTAGAATCACAATATTTTTTTCTCACACAATATAGATCTAATTTTTAATACATGTAAAATATATGGCTTTCTTTATTTATTACAAGGCAGTCATCATATCTGAGGGTCCTTGGTTTCGAAAAGTTTGAAAACCCCTGGCGTCAGGAATAGTAAATGAGCAATTTTGTGCCCAATTCCAGACTACAGCATAGCAGCACAGCTTCCACTTTCTCTGACTGATTGCTGGGCTTTAATGGACATTAGTGTGCGTTTAAAGAGAGCGACGGATATCCTGAAGCATGCGGGAGAAGAATGGTTGAGGGAGTGAGTCTGTGGTTTGGTGCTGAGGCCCTTGAGGGTGCAGAAAACACAAAATACTCTTTCTGAGACAGAAAGAGGCAGCTGCACGCCTGCGTCAGTCTCGTGAATGGCGATAGGTGGATTTGTGTAGGAGCCCAGTGTCCTTTGTGCAGCCCTATCCAGTAAATGAACACAGGATGTGCGGTTGCCCGGGTAACACCCCTGCATAACTTGTTCAGGCACTTACTTATGCACTCCCTCCCTCTCTCTATCTCTCTCTCTCACTCACTGGATTTCTCCCTCTGGTTTGCTTGACTCAGCAGCTGAATGGGGGAAGCCACCATCCTCTGAAAAAGGTCTTGCCCAATACCTTTAAATAAATCAAACTGTTCGCTCTACTACAAAAGCATATTATGTTTTCAGATGCATGATTAAATGGATTCAAATCAAAATTCATTCACACACTGCACAAACAAGCAAAAAAAAAAAAGATTTTACTTTTTTCTTGTCTTGTGTTCCATTACAATTTTATACAATTCTTAAATCAAGTTACATTTATTTGATAAGAAAAAATACTTCATTACTTTAAAATTGAAACATATAAAAATTAAATTAGTTTGATTAAAATAAGAAAAAAATCTTTTGTTTTCCTGATTTAAAAAATATATATATTCAAAGGCAAAACAAAATTGTTTCTTACCTCAGTGACAGATATCTTTTTCTTGTTTTAAGCCTAAACTTACTTAATTTTGAATATAAATATATATTAAAAATATAACAAAATTAAGTTTATCTTTAAAATAATTGTCATTGGGGTAAGAAATACAGGAAAAAATATTTTTTTATTGTTTTAAGCATAAGCTAACTTCATTTTTATACATTTTAAATTTTGAAC